GTGTTTAACTTTTAAAACCTTTAAAGATAAATAAAAGCTAGGTGGAATTGTACTGAGTCTGGAATTGCACTGGTCCTGGACAGCAGCTCAGATGTGGAGAGTCTCTAGTGGTTTTGAATAATATACGTTGGATGTACATAAACTTTTGACATTTTTCTGTTTAAAAACTATTACTCTCAGAAGACTAATAGAGCATGGCTGTGTAGAGCAGATATAAGAGGAAGTGAATTGAATTAAATGGGCTGCATGGCTCTCTTCCAACTTGTCATGTAACTGTGGAAATGCCTTGTATTCAGTAGCAGTAACAACTTAAAGCTCTTCACCTGTTTTGTAATGTTCATAAAAAAGGTTCTCTGGGACAGTGGCAGTGTTCAGATCCCCTTTACCAAAGGGAATAGACCTGTTGCTAATGGCTCCTTCCCCTTCTGGTGCCTATAGTTTATAGGCGATATTAATTTGGTCACAGCTATCATGACAGTGTAGGCCTGGTATGTTCTTAGATTCTGTTTCTGCATCCTTTCCTCTCTGCTGACAAAGTGAGATTTAGGCGAAATACTTTTATTTCTGTACCTGTAAAAACTGGAGCATCCTGTTAACTTTATTACTGCTGTACTATGTGTGTAAGGGGAAAGCATTTGGCTTGTAAAGATGCAGTATTCCAGAATTAATGACCGGAAAGGTTTAATGACGTAAACAGCCTTGTTTCTCAAAGCCCTTTTGGACCTGGATTCTTCAGCTAAAATCTTTCTATATCCTTGCCCCGGCATGGAGAAATCATAGTCTTCAGGAGGAAATGCATTCCCTTTGCAGGTTGGCTATGCCATCTCAATGAGTCAGTTTGTGTTTCTGTGCTTGTTGCTCTTCATGGCAGACTGTTTTAAGAAATCAGTGACTAAGTACACTTTACAGATATTTCTAGTAACCAAAATGGCTTGTCTGGATTGGTTTCGACGTGCAAGTTAACTTTTTAAAATTCAGAGTATTAGGGTTTTCTTAGGAAGTGGGTTGACTGCAACATGTAACATCTGGATTGTCATCCTGGACTGTGAATTTCTGCATTATGTTTCCATCTTTGTACTGAAACTGTTATCTGCATCTAGAGCACAAGTTTTTAGATGGTAGGGTCACTAGTCTGGTAAACCTGAGATCTGAAAAGCCAGTCTTATGTGTTATATTACTTGAGCTCCACTTCGATCTTTCCTTTCACTGGTCATCTAAAGAAAAGCTCACTTAAGCAAAGTAGATAGTGTTTCTCTAACTAGCGTATTTTTGTCAGGCCAGATATGACATAGGCTTTTGTGTTGTTTCCCAGACAGAAAATGTTACAAATCAGGAGTAGGATTAGAATCCTTACACAAATGGTCAGCGAGTTATTTGCAAACAGATCTTTGTCATGGAATTTCCACTATGCGCAGATCTATGTGAAGGGGAGGTGTTGAAAGTCCATTTGGACAAAAAAATAGAGTAAAGCCTGAAAGGCCCTTAATTTCAATGTTATAAAGATATTAACAAGAGTCTCAAGACTTAGTGTGATGTTGCTATAAAAGCATGGTGTCTAAGACTATGGCTGGAATAGTGGTATCTGTGCTTACTGGGAACCTATTTTTTATTTGTTTTCTGTTGATTAAGCATATTGATGGTTCTATAATGCCAACTTTCCTGCAATAATGGAAGTTTTGAGTCTCCTTATTGTTTAGGGACTGAGTTTCAGATTTTCATCCTCTGCGAAGAGCCTTTAAAAGTTTCCATGGCACAGAGCACTGCATTCTCATGCACATGTGCTTCAGGTGCAACTTAGTTCTGAAACACAAAGTGACAAAGTGCACCGCTGTAAAGTGTCAAGGGAAAATAAACACCACAATAGCTTTAATTTTTTAGTTGATAATCACAGTAATAACTTGGAGGGCTGGAGAGAAGACCAGGCCTTTTTTTTTTTTTTTTTTTTTTTTTTAACTTTTCCTTTCTTACAGGGAAAGGTTTCATGAATGAGAAACCTGACTTCTCATGAGAAAATTCTGCTAGTATTACTTTGTCCAACTCTTACATTGACAACAGTGCCCCTCTAGCACAGTGTAATGCTGCCTCTGCCTAGATCCTCAAAGAGGGATTTGCACAGTCAGCTCTGTCAAAAGGAAGTGCTCCCTAAAAGAAAGAGCAATAGATGAAGAATTACTTAATGATGCTCAGTGAAAAGTGCATCTTGATCAGTGTATGTATTTAAGCCTTTTTGGTCTTTGGTGTTTTTTTTTTTTTTTCCTTGCGTGTAGATGCCTTTGGGCTTGCACCTGTTTATTGACATATAATACTTGCCCTCTGTGTTCATGTTAGAATTGGCCCATTGAGCTTAATTTGTTCAAGGAGAGTGTGTTCATATAACTCACATGCAGAGGGACGAGCAGAAAGGGAAGTAGCTGGAAAAGCAAGTTACTGGAGCATAAAACATGCTCCAGCAGCTAGCTTAAATTTTCAGCTGCTTTTTCCCCCATGTATGTTCTTGGTCCTGACTGATGTAATGAGTATCATCTTAAGCCTGTATTTGTAGAACTTGTCTGTAATTCTGTGAAGGAAGCTGTTTTTTCACTCCAGATTTTGGTTTAGTTCATTAGTGTAGTTGAAAAGCAGTCTTGTGGTGTAGTGTTGATAACAAAATCACTGGTTGCTTCTGTGCATCCTGTGTCTCCTTCAGAGAAGACTAATTTAATCCCAGTGGGCCACTCGGGAAGGTGTTATACAGAGGCATGTGTATTACTGATGGTTAGCTGTGAGTCCTGGGAGGTGTTAAAGCGTATGGAGAGGGCAATGGTATAAGAAACACCATCACACCTGCACTGGAGCATAAAGCAAAGGAGCTGAACTTTGACTTCGGTGTGTTCAGAGGCAGTGAACCTCATTTCTGGTCGGGTCTTGTATCACTGCACTAGTTTAGTGTGACTAGGAAATGGCTGTGGACTTTCCAGTGTGATGGCTTTGCCTGCCAGTACCTGCAGAGTCTGTGAGCCTTTGAACTGTTGAGCTACTGTTGTACAACCTTTCCAAGGGAGGACAGCAGGCAGCATTTTGAACTTCACAGCAGTGCTGTATCCCCTTGTGCTCTGTGCCTCTAATTGACTTTAAAAGGCTTTTTGTGTAACTTAAAAAATGCTAACTACTGTACTATGCAACTTAATACAAAAATGTTTTTCACTAAATGCTGTTTTAGCTTTGGGCTTCTATGCCATTTGCAACCAATTTATCTGGAGGGGAATTGGTGTGGAAAATCGGTGCATGTTTCTGTTACATTTCTACTTCTAATGGTCTCTATCTTTATAGGACTTTATTTGTTCGTAATCTATGCAGTATCCTTCTGCAATAAGCGTTAGCCTTGTTGAGATAGGAATAGAGAGCCAGCATTGCTGTCAAGGTTTTCTGTTGTTGCCTCATGCAGTAACTACCTTGTGAAGGTTTCGACCCTGAAGTATTTCCATCTTTATCCAGGTGTGTTGTTGTGCATGGGCTGTACTTTTTTATTTTATTCAGTCTCTTTTTCAATCACGAGTTAATTCGCCAGAGTCTAAAATCAATTTTGGTATCAATTTTAGCTAGACAGTTGCCATGTTGAAACTGATGGTAAAATTTGCCAATAGGAAGAGTCTTTCTATTACTAAGCTCTTTCTTTGGTTTGAAGAAAACGGTGTGTTTTGCTTGAAAGAGTCCCTGCTGCTTTCTCTTTGCCTGGAAGCACCAAGAATGATTTTAACAAAATCCTATAGCTGCCGACCACTGTTAGGAAGAAACAGGTACCTCTGTAGGCACATAACTTTGCACGCTGCAAGCTACCATTGCATTTTTCTGCAACGAGAGTGACATGGCAGCAAGTGGGCTTTGCCACCTCTATGGAAAAGTGAGCCTTGTGTTATGATGCAGGTTGTCATCATTATAACCAGCCTCTTGGTGAGTTTGTTAAGCTAGCCCAGGAGTTGGGGGGTTGTGTGCCTTCCTAAGGGAAAACCGATCTGAATTGGAGCTCTTGCTCTAAAAAGCAGAGGTTATCAATTCCATTCATAAAGTTCTACCCATGGGACCCAGAAACACCGAGAAACTGGGACTTTTCCTCATTACAACTTTTACTTTAAAAAAACCCTCTGCATCAGATTTTTCAACCATTCTGTCTTTACCCTTCCTGTAAAGAGGAAATAAATAGCCATGGTTTTCTGAAAAATTGCAATTAGAGCATCAACTAAAGTGCAATCAAGTAGAATGTTGGTAAACAGGGAGAAATTTTATACTGAGCACAGGTACCAGCTGTACACTGCCATTCAAGGAGTTTAATACAGACGCATTCCTGTGCATCACTCATTAAATGCAGAATAACTCGGACTTGCAGGATGAGGAAGAGGGGAGGGAGGATAAAGTGCTAGTTTGCCCTAAAATCCTTTTTGAAGGGAAATTGGATGTATGCAGTGTAGTGTGGCAGCAACTGAAGTTGACTTTTTATCTCTACAACTAGGTCCTGAGCTGGGGCAAAATAAAATTCTCTTTGCCTGGCTGCATGCCTGACTTCTGCTGGGGTGGAACAAGCTCTTGACCTGTGAATGTTTTGTGTAGACCATCTAGTACTGAGGCAAACCAGTTCCTGGTATATACTGGCAATGACTCAGTCCAACCTGATCAAGATTGAGGTCAGTGAGCTGATTTAAAATTAAATAAATAACTGAAGTGAGTGTTTGAGGCAGTCAGTTATAGAAAGCCTGTAACAGTCATGGAGAATTTCAAGGACCTGCAGCAGTTTTACAACCTGATTTTTATCTATGTGTTCTTTTATGAGTTCAGTAAGTCTAAATAAACCCAGTCTAAGCTTTGGTGGAATGAAGATGTTTCTTACTAATATAACATGAAAGCTGCACACTGTCTCTTGCCTAATGCCTGAGCTGAAGCCAGTAAACTAGCCTCAATTTGGCAGATAGAGACTTGCCCCTCACTGAGCAGATATTAGATAGGTGCTGTGGATCTGAGTTACTTGGAAAACCAAAACTTACATCTGTGCAATATTAGTTTATTAAAACAGTACAGTATTTCAGTCCACACATGCCAACCTTATCACCAAGGCAGTCTGCCATTTTGGTTAGCGAATGCATCTTGCTATGAAATCCAGTAAATCCCCACGCATACATGTCTGCACACACATTTATTCTTGAAACTGCTTCAAGTGTTAGGGCAGCATTTCAAAATGAGGATATTCTTGCTGCTCTGCCATTCAGAAGTCAGAAATTATGTTGTCTTATTCCTTGTGCCTGCTTTCCCTCTTCTTAATTGGTTGTTGTATTTCAGCTAGGTCCTCATTTGCTGTAGATCTCATAGCTGCTCTGAAATCCAAAGAGCTGTGATTCTTGCTCGTTTATGCTTGTAAATACTCATCCAATTGTTTGATTTGAAAGGTATCTTTTCTTAAGGCCAAGTCAAAAGATCTGAGTGGCAGCTTGAGGGGAACTGCCTCCCATTTATTCAAGCATGAGGCTATGAAAGGCCCAACTGGGAAGGTGAAAGCCTTTGATAAGGAGACTACACCTTCAACTCCAGTTTGCCCTGGGTCCCGCTGCTGACCCCTTCCTTGGGGCAGATTTGTTGAGAAGGAAGGCTATTTTGTTTGTGCTGCCTTCCTCCTTGCCCTGCTTGGCACATACAGCTGTAAGTGTGTCTACTTAACTCAGTCTTCCCACCTCTTCCCACTTCCCATTCTTACAAAGTGGGCTTGATGCTTTGCCAAGCCACGTGTTTACCCATTCAATCCAGCCAGCAACCTTCCTTGGAAAAAGCGTGGTCTCTTAATGTGCTGATTCAGCCTCTGCTACTTTTGCCTATCAGGAGAAAAAGCAAGCTCTTAAATTATAAAATGGTGTGGTTGACACGTATTTGTGAAAAGCCTCTGCGTCCCACGGTATAACTCATGTATGCTCTATCCCCTTCATGCCCTGCAACCTATACGACTACCAAACATCTCTGCCAACACTTCAACCGCTTACAAACCTCTAGTACAACAGCTGCTTTGAACACTAGTTTTTTCACCCACCTACAGAACTACAATGTAACTCCTCTCACCCTGTCCCTTGTGAGGTGGTTGTTCCTAGTTATTTGCTCTGTCTGTCACCTGCTCCCTACCAAACAGCAAGGGAGAGCTCCTATGGCTCCTGCTGTGCTCCTGGTATGTGCAGTGCCCTGGAAGCATCTAATGGAAAGAAAGGGTTGGGGAGCCCAGAAAGCTGAATCTTAACTTTTAACGGAATTAGTTATTAAATAAAATAAAGTGCATCCAGTAGACAATTCATTGGCTTCCCACACAGCTGCAATATAAGAAAAACAAATACAAATGAAAAGTGTCAGTGTTTTCTCTGAAGGGCAGGGATGTGTGTGTAGCTTTCCCTGTCCTTTGGCATATAGATAGATAGGGGTGGCACTGAAACTGTGTAGGAAGTGGAGAGTGGTGGTGGGAGACCCCCTTTGTGGTGAATGGGTGCTGAAAGGCACAGGGCAGGTGCTGAAAGCCAATTTCATACGAAGTTGAAGAGGGAGGACAAGGCTGTGCTCCTCTTCTCATCCACCACCTTCAGCACGTTATCCTGACGAAACAAAAGCAGAGACAGTAGCAGGATTATCAGTCTTTGGGGAATTGCTGAGCAGTAAATTAAAAATGTCTCCTGAGTTTCAGCATGACCTTTCTGCACGGCTTGTGGGATACCAGTGCAGCATAACCCAGTTACCTACTACCAAATCTGGTGGGAGCGGCACGGCGCTCCACAGCCCATGGGATAAGCCAAATGTACCAATCTGGATGAAACACGTTCCCAGTCCTCTGCTGGGTTAGGCAAACACTACTGTACTCTCTCCTTTTGTGTTAAGAACAACAATAATCCTTGCATGTTTTTGTGTGTGCTTGTATGGTACCTCGAGCAACAAGAGGAGGGAGTGATTTTGGGTAGGACTCTGTGGCCCTCCGTTGTGAAACCTGGCTTGAGGGTGCAGCGTTTATGTTTGTGGAGGACAGGAGGCTGTATCAGCTTTTCTCTGGTTAAAACACTAGCCCATGAGAGGAGCTGGCTGTCCTATAGCTGCCTCCAGACTGAGATACATTGTTTTTAATTAGTTTTTTCAATATATTCTCCAGTTGCCAGATGCTTGGGTGCTGCTCAGGATTGTGGAGTTGGTGTTTTCCTCCGTTTGTGTTTAAATCCAGATCTGCCTTTTGCCAAAGCAGATTTCAACATGCAAAGTTCACAGAGAAGGGCAGAGGGGAAATATACAAAGGAAAAATGGATTAAATAGCATGAAAGCAGGAGAGGCGATAGTAAGCTTGGGTTGCATAAAAAGGAGAGACCTACGGGAATAATTTAAGAATGTAGCCATGGATATCTGATAAGGAGTTATACTGAAATCATACCCAAGGTACTGAAATAATCAATGCTATGTACAGCTGAGAGTCCAAGACTGTTGCTGGAGATATTTTTCAGTGTCCTCTAACTGTACGATGGTCGGGATTGGCTGTATCTTATTCCTGAGGGGGTGCTTAGTGCTGTAGCAGCACACTCTTGGGCTGTTTGGGAGGGCCAGGAAGCAGATTTTCAGAGTTGTGTTTGGTGGTCTAAATACTGTAAAATATTTATTTTACAAGTTTGAACTGACTCCAGAGCTAGCTCTATTTAATCTATTTTATTATCAATACTTTTGAAACTCTTTGATAACCTTCTGCTTTTCTAGTTCTGCTAGACAATTATTCTTCCTCCTCTGCAATATTATACTTTCAATACAGCTACTTTCTTTCTGTGCATTAGTGAATCTTTATAGCCAAGACCCTGGTTTGCTTTGAAGACATTACTTCTCTTTGTAATTAGACATAGTGAGTAAGCATTTCTCTCATTTCACACTGTATCTTCTTTTGCTTGCATAACTCAAGGGATGGTCAGAGATTAAGCAAGTGCTAAATGCACTAGCATGACATTTCCATGGTTGGTGTTCTTACCATTGCAACTCAAGGCTCTGGAGAGTGATGAGGCTGTGTGCTGCCTTTGACTCTCCCATCAGCAACAAGGGGATGCAGTGCCAAATTTGACTCTCTTTATCATTGTCATGTGAGAAGATTAAATGCAGATTGCTGATGGTCTGTCTCAAAGGACCCAGTGTGCCTCATGCTTCCCAACCCGACAGAGTTTGGCTGGACACAGGCAGTCACTGGAATGCCTTTGACAGCCAAACCTGCTGATTAAATCTAATGTCATGAGGATGGACACACATGAAGTCCCTGAAGACTGCAACTGGAAGTAGCTAAAGAATTCTGGCAATTTGGCACTTCTTCCTTCAGCAAAGATTAGTATTATCCATCTTCTATTTGGGTTGGAAGACACAGTTTTGTCTGGTCGCTCCTGGGGCAGGACCAGAGTTCCCAGGTTCTATCAGTGGCCGAATCAGCCAGTCAGTCTTGTGAAATACCATGAGGCAAACTCAGACATGATGTGTAAGGAGCATTTGTTAGACATCCTTACAGCAGATTTCCTTACTTAGCTTTTTAAAAAACAGATATTTAACAGCTGTTCCTACATACTGTAAGGCCAGAAAGAGGCAATTAAGATCATGAGACATATCCTCCTACCCAGCACAGACCGTAGGACTTCTCCGAATTAATTCCCATTTGAACTAGAACCTATTTTTAAAGGAAAAAAAGATCCTAATCCTGTCCCTAGATTTGCCAGTGGAAGAAAATTTATCACTGCAATCCTTGATGAGCGTAAATATTTAAAGGAGGCCTTTGGTGGTGATTCATGCTGGAGTGGTTTAAGATACTGTCACTCTCTACAGTCCACCTATCCCTTCGCAAAAGACTATCATTTCAACAGCAATGCTGACAGAAGGGAAGATGTGCCTGTGCCCCTTGCATGGCAGGCCACAATGCGGTATATTTATCTCTCTTTTCATCTGGGGTTACATTAAGACCCTGAGATTAGCACTGCCTAGCAAATGAGGTACGGGCGCATGCTCCCTTCTGCCACTCTGCTATAACAGCAGTAACCATAGGCTATAAGACAGAGTGAGCAGCTCCATTTTTAATATTTAGAATGGCAAAAGCTTGTCTGCCAGAGCTCTGAATTACATTTGGCCTTGTTGCACTTCAATAAGTAGCCAAAAGGACATATAGGTGCTCTAATAACTAGCTTTAGTCTATGACTAAATGTGTTAACAGCTCGTAATAGTTTCTTCTTTCCACAAGTTGCCATGACAAACCAAAGAAGAGACAGAAGCTCTTCCAAAGTGCCCGAGAGATTGAGGAGTACAGAGCCCACGTTTCCAGATGGGATGTGTACCCTAATTCTTTTGGGTGTCAGTGAAAGCATTTGCTTTTAACAGTGGTTGCCAACACTGACACAGGAGCATATGCACCATTGTCATCAAATTCAGCCTGTGGCTGTCACAGGCATCGTGTCACCTAATCTCTGCCAGAAACATGTTGATCAGGCCAGCCTTAAAGGTGACAGTCCCTGCTGTGAGGTGAGTCCCTGCTTCAGCCACAGAACTGTTCCAGATCGTCTCTTCTTTGACAGGTAGAAACCTTTTTCTGATTTTCCTGTATTTATTCATGGGCTTCTTCAATACACTGATTCTTGTGCCAGCATTGTTTTCTGGCTTGAATGATCTTCTCCCTCCCTGGTGTTTACTACCCTATTGTATTGATAGAGATCACAGTTCTATCACTCTGGTGTTCGTTTTGCTAGACTAAAGAACCATTCCCTGAACATCCCTCGAGTCCTTCTCTGTGTTCTTTCTGTCCGAGTCATTACTCTGGAACTGTTCTCATGTAATCCCTGTGTTTTCCAGTGTTAATAGTATTATTTTCCCGTGTGACACCATGCAAAAGGCTTTCCATAACTCCACAATGAGAGTTACTGCATTAAGCCCTGTATTCAGTCACAGCACTTTCTAATTCTGCATGAGGACTGAACTCTCCTATTTGGTGGTACATGGTGCTAAGTCACGCTCTGGGGATTTCAAATGCTCATAGCATGATGGTGAATTCCAGAGCTGGGTGGTATTGTCAAGGCTTAGCTCAGGGCTGCCAGCATGCAAGTAAGCAGGGATGCTTCCAGGCCAAGCAGGAGGTGGTATGGGCTGCAGGGAGGGCCGGTGAAACTGATGCTATTCAAGTCAAGCCCTTGAGACCTCGGCCTGCCAATCATAAGCCAACTTTCAAGACACATTGGCAGATGGTATCTTCTCATCTTTTTCTGAGGCTTGAGGAAACTGGTATGTTCTTCAGTAGCTCCATAACTGTACTGAGAAGTGTTGGTTTCTGCTTGTACTGCTTTCTGCAGCAACCTTTAGCACTGGTTTGCATCAGAAAACTGACCTCTTCTGACCTCCTCAATCCTGCGGCACACAGGCCCTGCCTGCCCCACTCCTGTTTACGTCAGCCAGAGCTGCAAGGTCAGATCCCTGGAGTTGCTTTGGAAATTTACCCCCAGCTGCATTTTCTCTAAAGATGCTGAGATTGATTTTTCTCAGGAGAATTCAAGGAAAAGCTTCTGTGGTTTTTGTGTATCGTTTACTTCTCTGGGACTTGTTGGACATTCTCCAGGGATTCCAGGCCTTCACTTTGGGTAAATATTTATTCCTTGTTATTTGAAGCAAAGGATGAAAGCCCCACCACGCTCTCTGCACAGCATCTCCAAGTGGTTTGAAGGTGCAGGATTTTTTTAGTACCATAAATAGGTGTTAGCAGTTGAAACTGTGAAACCCACATGGTGGCTGCTCATTGCAAGGAGCTTCTGTTCTGTGCAAAGGGATGGACAGCATCTGCAGCGGGGATTGATCTCTGAACATGAATGAGAGTGGGCCACGTGCCCCACAAAGTGCAGGAGCAGGGCAGGTGGAGAGAATATTATCACTGATTACTAGTAATTACTGCTGCTACAAATATCTGCCATGCTTTGGGTCATATAAGATCCTGGTATGGATAGCATGTCCCTGACATCAGGTGAAGTGACCTGGTACATGATTTTCCACTTGATGGAAATTTCACAATATAAATTGTTTTAATGAAATTATATTTTAAAAATTCTGTTGGGGCTGATAGGTTGTATGTTGCAAAAACATACCACCTGTTTCTAGGCTGATTTCCCAAAAATTGCACTATATCAAAACTGAATCACCACTCTTTCAGAACATGACATTAAAATTTTCTCTTTCAAAAAGGTCTAGCGAGGGCTCCAGTTTGTGTTTTATAAAATGTGAAATGTCAAAGCAGACACATTTCTGGTACGTGCCTTGCTTTTGTCAAATCTCTACTTTCACAGAAAAAAAAATCTCACTGGAAAGTTACTGATCACATCCTGACAGGACCTTACTAACCAGTCTCGATAAGCCATGCCAGTGCAATCCTCCAAATGCTTCTCCTTAAGGCGATGAGATATGACCACATATCTAATGGGGGTCCCAATTAAATTAATCATCTTTGTGTTTTGCTACTACACTTCTGTTGTCTGAGACAGTAGGTATTCAGACTCCATTTGTATCACTTGGACTCTCATGCACAAACTTTTCTCATGTTTTCTGCCAGGCACTTCAGGTCATGGTG